GGGACAGTGATGGTTGCAGAGGGTGGGGAAGGGCAGAGAAGGGGTGCGAGAGAAGCAACAAGGTTGGGGAAGGGGATGGCAGCGGCAGCAGGTGACGGATGGATTAGGGTTAAGGTTTGAAAATTGAAAAAAATAAAGATATTTTGGTATTATTTAAAAATTAATGATGTGAATTGACAAAAATAAAATAAATAAAAAAATTAATTCATTCAAATTGAGTGTGGTATGAACTTAGAAGGTGGTGAGTAGTAAGATGAGTGATAATGTGCAAGTGTTCCTCATACTCCAAAACAATTAAGGTCAAGTTTGAGAAATTTCAAAAAAGTTAAAAAGTCGAAAAGTTACTCAAAAAGTTAAAAAATTATCACTATTAACCAAAAGTCGACAATTACAGCTGCATAACTCCCAATACTAATTTTCTCCTACACATTAATTTATACAATTTTTTAATATACATTTTCCCATAAAAAGTCAAAAAGTTAACCCAAACATTCATATTTTCAACCTCAATTTTTTAGTCTAAAAAGATAAAAAGTACACGTATTTAAGTCACCCCAAACAACCCCTAAAAATGCCCATTTTTATGGACTCAACACAGTTGAGCATGGATTCATGCCCCAAACCAAGACCAAAAGGTGGTTTTACAACAATGGTAGAGGACCACAATTTTTGTGGTCACAATAGTTCAAAACTATCAAAACGACGTCGTTTTGGCATGTTTTGCACCCAAAACGACGTCGTTTTGACAGTTTTAAGCCATTGTGGCCACAAAAATTGTGTCTCTCAAACATTTTCCGTGGTTTTATTGGCTATTTTTGTTTACTATATACCCTCGTTTTTCTTCATAGTAATCTGTGTTTTTGGTTTGAATTTTTTGAATTAAATTTTTTTAAAATTTAATTTTTTAATTTTTTTATTTTTAGTGAATATTTTTAAAATTTTAATTTTTTTTTACTTTTTTAAATACACCTTATTTAGATGTATTTAAAAATTATGTAAAAATATTTTAAAAAATTAATAAATACATAAAAATACAAAAAATATAAATTCTCGTAATTTTTTTATATTTTTGATATTTAGTTAATTTTTAAAAGATTTTTTTTTTACAAAAATTATACTTTTTATGTGTATTTATGTTAGGTATGTCTAAAAATTAAAAAAAATTACTTAAAATATTAAAAAATTTAGTAAAAACAAAAAAAATACAAAAAACAAAAAAATAAAATTTTCTAAAAAATATTTTTTTAAAAACTAAAAATAAGCAAAGTGAATGCAAACATAACCAGGGAACAGTGCTTGAGAATTTGATCTTTAATAATGACATCAAATCAATAGCAATAGCAATAGAATTTAGATCCTCTCTTGCCATTCATTCCAACACTTTCTCCAGGGACAGGCCAGATTGAGCCACATCACCCTCAAAGGTATGCGGGTTGTGTAACTCAAAAAAAAAAAAAAAATCTACTGACACTCTCTGTGACACTTTCTGTCTCGCACCACTCACACTCGAACCAGGTTTCCTTTTTCAAATTTCTCCTTGACTCCTGCTTGCTAAGCCATTAAAGGTCCACTTTTAGACTTAATTTCGATGATTCGAATCGTTTATATTTTAAAATTTATTGAGTATATCATACTTGTAAAAAATCAAATTGATCAGATATCAGAAAGTATGTGTTCGAAAAAATATTTATTAATTTTTTTTTAAAAATAATTTTTAGTTCGATGATCCGAACACATGTTTTCTGATATTTGATTAACTTGATTTTTTACAGGTATAATATGCTCAACAAATTTTAAAATGTGAACGGTTCGGATCATCGAAATGATGCCTAAAAATAGACCCAATAACTTAGCAAGTAAGAAATCAAGTAAGAAATTGAAGGATTTGGTTTGTGTTTCCTAAAACTTTTTGAGAAAAATTCTCTATAAATAAATTTTCAAAAGTAATCAAACTAAACAAATTTTTTCAAATTTTTTTTTCAAAACTTCTTTGGTTTATAAGTTTTCCAAACAAATCTCTTTCTCATACACATCAAATCAATCACTTTTTTCAAAACTCTCTCTCAAAATAATTTTTCAAAACATCTTTTGAAAAAAATCAAACCAAACAACTTTTCGTACTTTTTATCTCTAAAACTTATCTCCCACACTCAAACCAAACATACCCCATATTCCTCACACTCACTCTCTCTCTCTCTCTCTTAATAAAAAATTTAAAAGCATTTTAATCCTTCTAATTTTATTTTTTAAAATGAAGATTATTTTATTTCATCAAATTAAATTTATATTTAAAAAATAATAATTTCAAAACACAACTAAACATAATAATTGCTTTTTATTTATTTTAATTTTTTAAATATATTTAATATTAGTTTCATTTTTAAGATATATATTCATTGATATTAATTTTACAAAATTAAAATTTTATATTAAAAATTATATATATATTATGAAAATAAATTGAAAAGATTAAAATATTTTTTTTATTAGAGAGAGAGAGAGTGAGTGTCAGTGGTGGGAGACAAAGGGTTATTTTGGGAGAAAGGAAATAAGTTATAATCTGAGAAGTGGATTATAACCCAGTTTTCAAAATAGGCCAAATTTCAAAATAGGCCAAAGAGTGTGAGGAGAATTTTTTTTTGAGTTAATTTGAACGCAAATTATTTGTGGGGGTGATGTGGGCCAATCTGACCCGCCCCTAAGGAAGGGTTGGAGAGAATGGCAATAGAAGATCCAAACTCAACAAAAGCAATAGCAATAGCAATACATGATTCTTTCTTTAAGTCTAGGACTAGTTAGGATACATACCCTTTTGGGGAGCTGATAAAAAATCAACTTTTTAGTATTTTAATTTTTTTAGATCATATTACTTTTTAATTTTTTTATAAAAAAAAAATCACAAAAAAAAATCAAAAGCCAAATTTTTATTAATTTTCCAAAACATCATTAAAAAGTACTCTCTCTCTCTCTTTCCATATGTATATACTAGTATGCCCGTACCTTCAATTAACAATGAGATTAAAATATAAATCAAAATAAAATTACTAAATTAAATCCATTTAAGAAACATAATGTTAAGATTAAATTGGATAAATTACATTTTAAGATCAAGTATTATATACTTATTTATTATTGCAGAACATTTACAAATGATAATATTAAAAACAAATTTTTTTTTTTATTCAAAAAATGAATATGCAGATAGGCTACTTCAACATATCCGCCATAGAGTATTGCCCCTTATCACTGGTGGGAGACAAAGGGTTATTTTGGGAGAAAGGAAATAAGTTATAATCTGAGAAGTGGATTATAACCCACTTTTCAAAATAGGCCAAATTTCAAAATAGGCCAAAGAGTGTGAGGAGAATTTTTTTTTGAGTTAATCTGAACGCAAATTATTTGTGGGGGGTGATGTGGGCCAATCTGACCCGCCCCTAAGCCTCCGTTTGGGAAGTGGGTTGTCTTTTTGACTTTTTGACTTTTCTGACTATTTTAGCCTGGGCTAAAAAGTTTGGTTTGGGAAGGGCTTTTTGGCTTTTTGGCTTTTTTGGCTTTTTTTGTGAGAGAAGAATGTAATGATTATGGGTTGGATGTGATATTTTATTTTTTGTAGCTAAAATAGTCTATTTTGTCTTTTGTGACTAAATTAGCCAAAAAAATCCCGTTTAGCTCTTGCCAAACGGAGGGTAAGGAAGGGTTGGAGAGAATGGCAATAGAAGATCCAAACTCAACAAAAGCAATAGCAATACATGATTCTTTCTTTAAGTCTAGGACTAGTTAGGATACATTCCCTTTTGGGGAGCTGATAAAAAATCAACTTTTTAGTATTTTAATTTTTTTAGATCATATTACTTTTTAATTTTTTTATTAAAAAAAAATCACAAAAAAAAAAAAATCAAAAACCAACTTTTTATTAATTTTCCAAAACATCTTTAAAAAGTACTCTCTCTCTCTTTCCATATGTATATACTAGTGTATGCCCGTACCTTCAATTAATAATGAAATTAAAATATAAATCAAAATAAAATTACTAAATTAAATCCATTTAAGAAACATAATGTTAAGATTAAATTGGATAAATTACATTTTAAGATCAAGTATTATATACTTATTTATTATTACAAAACATTTACAAATGAAAATATTAAAAACAAATTTTTTTTTTTTTGATTCAAAAATTGGATATGCAGATAGGCTACTCCAACATATCCGCCGAGGAATATTGCCCCTTATCACTTACAATATATCTACAGAGAACCCCACCACACCTACGTCGAAACCGAAGCTTTGGCCCCGCGTGCTCCAGGCGCTAATCAATCATTTGCACCAATTTTTGTTCTATTGAAAACGGTGTCATCTCCACCAACTCCAACGTTATGCATGCACGTCAGTGGATTACACCCATTGTTTCATTTTAATGAAGGGCATGAGAGATATGATATAGGATTTATAGATATAATCATGGAACTAAAATCATATGTTCTGGGCAACCAATTCACTTCAATCAACCTAATGAAAAGTGCAATAAAAGAAAATGTTGGATGAATAGGCATTGAAGACTTGAAGGCATGCTTGCAGTTGTGACAACTGAAAAGATAACTGAGAGGAAGGAAACTATTTTGCCTACTAATCTGTTACAACTGCTCCTCCTAAAAGGAGAATACATTCTAAGTCAGACCCAGCTTTCAGAGTGGTTCAGCCTTCTACCTAGCATACAAACTTGTAATTGCAATCTTGTAGTGGCAGTAAAACTTCATTCCTCAGCCCAATTCTACACATTAATTCTTCTTATGCTTGTAGAAGAAAAAGAAAATTGGCTATTTCAATTAGGTGCAATTTTGGCTTGAGGACCCATTGCAAAGCACCACAGCAGAAAGATATTAGTCATACAAAGAAGCAATGAAGCCCTTCCATGATCACTCTCTTGTCCCTATTGTCATACAAAGTACAACAGCAATGATGTACTACAGCAAGCAAGAATATTTCATAGTCAAAATCAATGTAGAAAAACAACCATGCTATATAACATCAAAGAAAAGTGGCTCACACAGACAAATCAGCATACACTTGAAGTGTATAAAAGAAAAAAAGGAAGTAAATTTCAAAATGCGATTCAAACCCATGAATAAGAAGCAACAAAGAATCACATTCCATCGTAAAAGAACACAAGACAGCACAGAGTGACACTCATCAACTTGAAAACCAGTGTATCACAGAATATCTATATAAACTCACAATATCATATGCATGTTATTCGAACCCATTTTTCGAAGAGGGTAGGGAAGAGACCTTCCTGACAACCAGGGGTACATTCACAACTGATTTCGAGATCACCACTGATAAAAACCCTAAGCGTGTGTGTGTCTTCTACATAATCGTCCCTTCAATCGAACCCACTCAAAATTCTCCATTGCGTGTGTGTGTCTCACTCTCTTGGTCTCAAACCCTGTTATCGCGTTATACCCAAAAAAACACAGAAAATAGAAAGAAAATCAAATACGTAACATAATCAAAATTTGTGAAGTTTGTGATGGACAGAATTTAAATAAAATAAAACAACAAAAACTTCTAATAATTTAGTTTCTGTAATAAACTCAAGCACATGACAACCTGATTATCTATTTGGGGAAAAAAAACCAAACGACACTAACTAATAGAGGAGGGAACCAACTCTAACCAATGGTGATGAGAAAAACACTGAATGGTGCAAAAAAAAAAAGAACCAACTCTAACCAGTGTACAACAAAATTGGTCACCACAACCATCTTCCTCAAACCAGTTCAAAAACTAATGTAGTTCTTGGTGCTTGGATGGGTTTAATAAACAAATTGTGGGTTTAGATTTTGTTTAAAAAATGTATTAGATTGAGTCAAAAAAAATGTATTTGATTGATTCAAAAAATTGTGGGTTTGGGAGAATGGAATTCTAATAATAACAATCTAAAATAACACAATGTAAACGGCCCATAAACAATCAACACAAAGAACTGGATTGTCAACACAAAGAACTGAAGAACTTACCTCTGTTGAATTGAAGAACGATGGGTTTGAATTGCAGCCAAAAACACACACAGAGAGACAAGGGAAGAGGCAGAAATCGAGTGACACACAACATAAAAAAACACTGAAATTACCTGAACAATATTTAATCAAAAACAGAACCAGCCAAGTGATAATTATACTATTTACCTCAATCTATCAATCATCTAGAGTTTTATTTATTTATTTATTTTAAATCCCTGTTTCTCTCACAATCCCTGTTTCTATAACAATATAACAGTTTGAATCATGTGATATAGAACAAACTCAAAAACTGTTTTTTAGTATAATGCCTTTATAATTAGGCTCTTGCTCTCAACATCATCATACTAAAAGGTTAAGGAAGAAACTGCAATGCCTTTAATCGAAAAAAATTTAATTGAAAAAAAAATTACAATGATCATTCTATTTAATCAAAAACAGAACCAGCCAAGAAAAACCCTAACTCAATACTCAAGATTTCAAAAATATACTCTCTAGAGTCCATGAAAGCAAAGAAATGGTAATGAGGCAAAGAATTAATACTTACACATCCTCAAAGCTAGTAAATCAAGGAAAATTATTACATTATTATTAAATATAATTGTATAAGCAGTTCCAATAACCCAACTACATGAATTCAAATTACTGGGTGGTAAAATTAGAGATCCATAACACAAAATCAGAAATCCACATTATAAAGGGTCAATAGTATGACTTAATTTAAGTTTCCAAAACCATGTTAAGCAAGATTATAAATCAAAATTTCAAAAACAAAACTGTTCATGTAAACTACCATAGGAGATAGGAAAGAACAAGGGAAAAGAAAATTGAAAGTACAGAACAATTACCTCTGACAACTCAAATTAATTACAGGAAAATCAGATAGAAAATGAGTCGCACACAATGTAGATTAAGGTATATAGATAAATACACACAGATTATATGTATATATATATATATATAATAGCGATACCAAAACAGAACATTTCATTTCATGTGAGAGATACAAACAGTTCACAGAAGCTGTTCACTTATGGATTTCAAGTAATCAAAAAATTGGAGGCCAACCTAAATGACCCATGAACAAAACCCTAAAATTTTTTATAACCACCAAGAAAATGGAATAGGCAAACAACCAGATAGAGAGAAACAAACCAGTTCATAGAAGCTGTTTGGTTAGCAAGCCAGTGAAAGTAAAAAAAATTAAGAGAAGAAAACGAAGAGAAACAGAGAGAGAAGGGGAGAGACAAAAATCTTACCTTGCACAGATTGAAGCCTCAAGTTTTGCTTTATGAAAAATGCTTCGGACCCCCAATGAGGTGGCGCATTGTGATTGGGTAAAAAAGAAACTGTCTTATTTTTTTATTTTTTTTTGAGTTTCGGCCAGTGGAGGACTCGCTCGCCACCTCACTGGGGGTGCGACCCGCCCTGGGGTATGCAGCAAGACTCTTTGCTTTATTATATAGATAGTGTCAAAAGCCATTAACACGTGGCCTTATCTTTTAAATACGAAACATGTTAGGTTTATCTGTTCATCACTATTATGCTTGATTGGATTAGATGGTTGGGTGACTGCTTTACAATGAAGAAACTAAGGTATCGTTTGACAATATTATTTTTTAATTTAAAAATTAAAAAATTATTAAAAATTAATAATTTATAATAAAAAGTAAAAAAAAATTTATTTTATTTTTCATACATCTTTTTATAAAAAATTAAAAAATTATCCCAAATCTACTAATTTTTTATGTCATATTTTAATTCAAAAATTAAAAAATTATTTAAAAAAACTTATTCCCAAACGATTCGTAATGTACGTGTTTAGACTGGTTAGAGAGCACCTGGTCAAGTAGTAATCACTAGCCCAGGTATAAAGAAGACCATAGGCACCTAATGGCCGCCCAAATACAAAATGGCGAGGCTGATTCCTGAGAAAGCTGACACTATATATGTGTATATATATATATATATATATTTTTAAGCTTGGTTTGGAGAAAATCGGAATTCCCAACGCAGAATTAAAAATAACAAAAGATATTTTTAAGAATTGAGTGTGGAATTAGAAGAATTGTGTGTTTTTTAACAAAAAGATTGTAATAACCCTCATCACTGCTTACCGATAAACATGGATTACCGTCAAAACTGAACTGATTATGACTGATAATTGAACTGATTAAAGTACTGAACTGACTGACTGAAAACTGGAACTGAATTGACTGAGTATGTATGTTAATTTGTATTCTATCTGTTCGATTGTTTATTTGATCTGTTCACGTTTTATGTTTAAACTGCTAATTGAAGGCCTTATCGGCGGCCGAACCAGGAATTGATTGATGTTTCTCGACCCTCACAATTAATGTGAAATTATGGTGTATTTATCTGAAAACTGATTAGGTATGATTAAATTAGATTAAATATTGATGGATTGCAAGTTTTGGACTTAATTACCAAACTAACCCTTAGTGGCCCACTCAATATAACATATTTGAGCCCTATGATACACTTAAGCACATAATTTCATCAGCCTTTCTCCTTGCTTTGCCGACTTAGAGAGAAAAGAGGGAGATAGTGAGAGAAATTGGGATTCAACTTGGGGAATTGCTTGGTAATTGAAGTATAGATTGCTATTTTGAGCTTCTAGCCTTGCATTGAAGACCTAAGGTAGAATAACTACTCTCTTGTTCTTGAATATTAAGTGATTCATGCATGGTTCATGTCTAATTGAGGAGCTAAGTCATAATTTAGTTCTAACATGTTGAATTGAAGCTCATTCCATGCATGCATGTTGTATTGTAGATGTTTGAGTTGTTTTCATGGCAAAATGTTACATGCATGTTCACAATTATGTTTAAGACCATGAACTCATCATGTTTTGAAAAGAATTGGCTCTTTTGGGCTAGTATTGGAAGCTTTGAATTGGTTTGAATTCATGCATGTTTGCACGTTCTCCATGTTCATGAAATTGGCTTGAAATTGGGTTTGAATTAAACACCCTTGGGCTTTGATTTCTCAAAATTGAGCTTTGAACCATGTTATCCTATGTGTTTACAAATGTATTCTGGAAATTCAGCCCAAGAGGTCGAGTTTTGAGTTGCTAAAACTTGGTTTGAGCTTGGAGGTGCAATCTGGGTTTTCCAGATTTTGCACTCCCGCTCGAGCGGGGAAATGGGCGCTCGAGCAGAGAATCCGAGCATCCAGTA